AAAGACTCAAAAAAAAATTATAAGTTTTATTATTCTTTTCTATTCAAATTTACAATTTATTTCGCTGATTAATATATTCACTTGATCTGCATTTCTATACCATAAAAAGGGCGATCTACATTGCCCATTTTTGGTAATGTGCCCGACTGTAATTATTTAATATTAAGTAAGGGATAAGTCATAGGTCATTATTACTTACAAAATTACTTTGCCCATCTCTAGTTGGGATTTTTAGTATAATTATTCCGTTCTAATCTAAGTGGATTCCGAACACTATTATCAAAAATAATCAAAAATAATCAGTAACACAAGAACTTCATTTAGAAGACAAAATATCATATCATTTATTTATCCATACCAAATTATACTGTAGAGTGAAGGTAACGGGAAGCGCTTTTGTCTGAACTATTTTATTACGTTAGATTTAATAAATTTTTACTTCTAACGGTTTTAGTTGAATACAAGCTTTGTTGTAGTAGGTTTGTAGTATACTTGGGTTTGTCAATTGTAAATTAACAGTTAAAGTACAGTTAAAGTTTTAGGTTATATCTGGTAGATTCATTAATATAATGAGTTATTTTACGCGTATCTAACTTTATGCAAAGTTTTTTTTTTCATTTATAGTACCTTAGTATTAATAGTACTCTAGTATTAATTAAAAACTAGCATTCGAACCAGTGTTGGAAATCATATGTTCACAGTGTTCACAAGAACGTAAATTTTTAAAAAAATCAAGATTTTTTGATTTTATGTTCACATTTGTGAACATAAATAATTTTTATCTAATTAATTAAATTTTATTTATGATCATTATTTTTTATAATGTGAACATGATAAAAAACAATGTTCACAAAAATTATTATACTGTCTTATGAATTTCCAACACTGATTAGAACCCATCAACATACGACGGGCTACAAACATATGCGAATATTGCAGAGACATCCTATAAGAATTTTTCACACGTGAGTGCATATGTCAGCACCAAATATATCACGGAATTCAGATCATTTGCACTGAATTTGCATGCAAGCAAAACCGACGAACACGCAATTGTACAAAATGTTCTTATGTGCACGGCATGTGCACCACTGTTGCACGGAATTCGCGCCTTTTTACGTGTCCAAAGAACGTTTTCCCGTGCACTGACCCGTGTTATATTCCGTCTAGTTATGTATACGCTCGTGCTATCACGTACCCGTGTTTGACTATAAATCCTGTGCACCATATTTTATAGGGACCATTATCTTATATAAAGAGACCATCGGGGCTATATACGTATGAAATTGTTGGATCTGCATTAATATAAATTCAGTGACACATGAAAATTATCCGAAATGATTTTTTGACATTAGTTAACATCAGTAACTTATTGATTCTGACTCAATTTTACCTTCTTTATAACCAAAATTGCTGAAATTTAATTTTAATTTTAATACTTCAATTTATTTGAACTTTAATACGATTGACAATCGTTTTTTTGATTTCAATTTGAATTCTAAGACATATTACAACATAGCATTTACTATAATAAATAACGGTACTCAATATCATATTTCCAATCCGGTAAACCGAAGTTTAACAATTTCTCATAATGTGACCAACAATAGGTTTAGTAAAATTTTTAAAAAATGAATGAAAATAATTCACCTATCAAATGTATCAATAATATTAATTCATTAAATTATAACAAATCTTATAATTTATTGGGATAGATGACATGTCTATATATATTATAAAGTATCTATCTATTTTTAATTTATAAAGACAAACTATATTTAGTTTCAAACTAGAAATTAAATAACCATAGAACTAACTAAACGATCGTTTGATCCTTATTTGATCTTTCTAGGTTTCAATCGAGTCTGACTATTTCCATAGGAAACGGCCTTAGATCTATAACTACAATTTCTGGATTGATGAAATTGGTAATAGTTGGAATGATAGTAGATTGGGTAGTATTAGGTTGAACTGTGAATAGCTGCGTTTTAAATTGAATAGTATTAAATTGAGTTGTGGATAATTGAGTAGTATTAAATTGAGTAGTATTATACTGAGTTGTGGATAATTGAGTAGTGTTATACTGAGTTGTGGTTAATTGAGTAGTATTAAACTGAGTTGTGAGTAGTTGAGTAGTATTAAACTGAGTTGTGAGTAGTTGAGTTGTAAGCTGTGTAGCACTAGACTGAACTACGGATTGTTGAGTAGTAGGTTGAACTGTGGATTGAACTGCAGCTGGAGATTGAGTTGCTGATTGAGAAGGCTTAGGAGTTTGAAGAGGTTGAGGAGGCTGAGTGAAATGATCTTTACGTTGAATAGTAGTTTTTACGTCATCATCATTAATAGGAATAATGATACCAGCAACAATACCAAGAGCAAGGCCAAGGGCGCCACCACCATCAGCACCAACACCAATGACACCAGCAACAGCTGCTAATGCTGCCCCTCCACCATCACCTCCTTTGTTTTCCCTTTCCTTTTTCTCTGTTGGCTTCGGTTTATTTGTATTTGTTTTTGGTGTTTTTGTTGTAGATGCTTTTGTTGTAGATGTTTCCGTTGTGGCTGTGGTTATCGGGGGGCAGAAGTTATTTCTGTCGGCAAATTTTATAAGGTTTTGTTTTAGATCGATCGCAAAATAAAGATTCTTTAGAAAGAAGCAAAATAATTATTAATATTTCAACGCTATCAGACTTCTAAATAAATAACTGTTTGATCTTTTTATAAATTATTTTATTTTTTTTTTTTAAAAAAAAACAAATATAATTACTTGAAGAAATGACGTCCCAAATGTCCATGTATTTAATGGTCCAGATCCATCATCAAAAATTGATATACAATCTTTTACTGATCCTATGTTACCATCACAGATTGTATTATTTGACAGTGTAAGTTGTACTATTTGGTTATCATTCAATGTGATATCAAATGATATATCTACAGGGTTTGGCACTTTCCATCCCTCAAGTGATTTAGTAGCATTTAACAATCTAAAGAAATCGCCAGAAGCCTTGCCAAGAGAAATTCTGTCACTCTTAGTATCAAGAATTGAATCAATTGCAGTTACATTAACAGGTTTTCCTCCAACATATGCCGCGTTAATTCTCATTGAATGCATCGATTTCGATGCATTTGACATTGATAAGCTATACAAAGGCCCTGTCATAAAAATTTTTAGATTACTTAGAATTATGTAAGTTATATAACGTTTATTAAATATAATGATTATTGCAAACCTTTAATGAACCTATTATCTATTCCTCCAAGTGCGATCGAGCCAACATCGCAATTACCTAATGGAAGCGCAAATCCAATAACTTGATCTAAATTAGACTCTTTTAATTTCGTCCACATCTAATTATTTTATAAATATTAGAGTATAACAATAATATTTAATAATAATAAAATGCTATAATGATAATTATGATTAATCTAGTCACCTGAGATTCACGTGAGAGTCCCATAATTCCTTCAACTGCAGCTTGTGTCCGAAAAGAACCATCTATTTGCTTAGCTAAGAGGATGTCTGCCTGAAATTTAGATTTAGATTGACTAAATGTAATAAAATCATTACCAATTGACCCAGAAATGCTGGATCCATCCAAATATTTTACTGGACCGTTGTTTTGACCGATGGAGGGTCTAAAAGTTTTTGAAAGTCCCGAATTAAAGACATTTTTACGATTATTGCAACTTAATTGTCTTTGGCAAAATTGATTGGTTACCACAAATTCATTAGAAGTAATATCAGGAATTACATTAATGAATTGTGGATTTGTTCCCATTCCGACCTGAAATAATGAAACTAAACGGGAATTGCTTTTAGGAACAAAGCTAGATGTGTCTTTAGTTTTAATTAAATTAGATATTATAGGAAATCCGACAAGACCGATGTTTTTTCCCACATTCTGACGATTAGATATAATGGAATCTGAATTGTATTCTTTATTATTGTTTTTCACATTATTATTAATAAGCTTTGGATTTTTAACTAAATTGCTGGGTCCTTCATTATTTCCATCAAAGAATGAATATTCTACCCAAATAATAGTGATGATAATAAGAAATAAAATAAAAGATCGATTGAATTTTTTGGCAAGAAATTTAAAAAACTGGAATATATCCATTAAATTATTTAGTAATTTGTGAATGATTAATAAATAATCAAAAAATATTAAATGTGCTATGATTTCTTGATTTAATATATATTTTTTTTAATCAGTGACAATAGATTCATCATCGATTATCATATTTGCATAAAATTATACTTTGAAGCGTTGTGTACAATTATAAACTTAGTATCGGCAAGGATACTTGAAATACCGTTTACCCGAAACATTTAAATAAATAAATCTTCATCTTAAGATTTTCGACAAATAGCATATATCGTATTTTACATATGTTGTAAGTGGAAACGGAATTTAAGTGGATTCAGAATTTATATATAAAACCCGTTTTGGGGTTGATTTTATCATATGTACACCCTAACTTTAACCCTAATTTAACTAGGAAATTCCAAATCCACTTAAATTCCATTCCCACTTACAACATATGTATACTTTTCTCTTTTAACCGCTAGAAGGCGTACATTATTATATCATAGTACAATTATATATGTATTTAAAAAAACGGATTTATATTTGGTTAAAAGATTATTAGATGATTATAACTCTTATATTGGGTAATTTGTCAAATGCTGCAAAAATGTTTAAAGGTTTCAGAACAAAATTGGACCAAAATTAAAAAGTAAATATAACACAAAAGGTGTGTCATGAAATAGCATATTAAATGCAAACTTGATGCAGTTTATTAAATAATTCTGATCCATATTACCGACCCATTCTTTAAATTTCCTTATTTAGAAATGTATTTAGAGCGAAGTAGTTTAAATTAAGATTACATTAACATTTAAAATTAAGATTAGGGTTATGACAAGTAATATACCGGTAAATAAAACTGTTCCACCGAATTTTTATTGGTGCTTGTAGGGAAAGTCCAAATAAGGCATTATGGTCCGATCGTGCATATCGATTTAGCAAATCAAAAATTTACTTTAGCCGAGATACCGAAATTAAAGAAATTTATGATTAAACATTTAAGGTAAAATGTTATCAAATAAATATTGTTAAAAAAGATAACCACATTTTATTAATTAAAGTTATACGGGTTATAAGGTATGGAATAAATGCTACAAACATGTTATGCGAATATTGCAGAGACCATCGGGGCTATATACGTATGAAATTGTTAGATCTGCATTACAGCTGTACCAGGAACGGAGTGATATTGAAAATTTCACGAAGTGTATGGTTATATGGAAAATTAAATGGCGTTCGTACGCAAAATCTTGCATCTTATTGGGTATATGCATATGGCGAAGCAAAGGTGTGAATGCATATTGAAACTTTGCATATACGTCTTCGTATCCGAACTTGCTCCTGTATTTGTGTCGCATGAGATTGTTAGTCTAACTTTTAATGTGCGATACCTGATTCAGTAATTTATTTTCTCATGGTCGTCACTTAATTGCTGATCTTGATTGCCGATATACGCACTATTCTGTATATAGAATTAGATCCTGATTCTGGAGATCCGATTTCCATTTATGTATTATTGATTTTGATCTACCTGCCATTACCCATAACGCAATAGAAACAACGCTCGTAAAGTATACAGTATCGATATGTTTGATTGCCTAAATTCACATTTACTCTTTATTATCCGATATCTACAATCTATTTAAAGCTAAACAAGTAATCATATGCTTCATGGTTTTGAAAACATTGTATGTAAATTGATTATTTGGTTATTTGATTTTCTTGTCGGATGATTTGCCTCCCAAATTATTTGGCTTAAACAATGAATATAGTAATTAATTGTATTGTTATTTTTGAATCATATTCTCTAAATAATTCGTGGTCCTGTCCGCAAACATTTTGGTTAAAGAATGAATTCAAGCCACTGTTAATAACGGGATTGATATTTAGCAGTTTTATCCAAATTCAACCCCTTACTGGTATAAAAAAATTCATCTGAAAAAACGTTTGTTAATTAAAGAATTATTTAATTCTTTTCTCTTATATAGTTATTTGAATTAATAATAAGCTACATCTTTCTTTATCATATTAAACATTTAAGTCTAATCACTATCAATTTCATCTGTTCCTGGTTTCACGCGATAGCTTATCGATTCGGTTACTGGAAAATATGAAAGCAGCTGAAACACCAACTATATAGATTCTTTGCTGATGGAAACCAAATTAACCCTATAAACGATTGTATAAAATTTTAATAATATTTGGGCGTTAGATATATTCTTTTTTTATAGGGTAAGTTTTTTGCAGTATTCGGTTCGACATTGTTAAATCACACCATTGGCGTTTAACACCACAGTTGCTATATCTCAAAAGCTGTCTAGATAACCAAGGCCGGATGTATTAAGTCAAAATGTTCAACATCTAAAAAAAAACTTAATTCTACTTTATTCTTAGCCTAAAATTTAACTTTAATCTTAAGTATTGGCAACAAAATTATGATAAAAAATTATATGGTGTTCAACATCACAGGTCGATTTATAAGAATTGTTTTATTCTTCTTTATCGAATCTATATGATCTCTTAATAATTGGTTACTACTAAAAAAAAAAACATATAACACATCTAATAAAAATTACATAAACCTATATTTTCTACCTAAGTTATCTTCTCTAATTTATTTTAAGTTTGTTACCTTTTTTAACAAATGAACTTTTGTGACGTTTCATAAATTACTTGTGGAATTTACTCATGTTTCGTAGGGGAACGGGTTATGAAAACTATTTCTCCGACAAGTAACAGTGTTAAATTGTCACCCTTTATGATGAACATGTAACTATATCGGAATCATTTCCAAGAATTCTGAAAATCCCAAGAATCACAAAAATCCTAGAAATCCCGAAGATCCCTAAGTTATCTAAAATCCGCAATATCATAGAGATTCTTAAAATCACAAAGATAGTAGATATATTAAAGATAGTCAGGATTCTTAGTATTCCCGATATCTTTAGTATATTCGGTATTTCTGTTATATCTGTTATATCTGTTATCTTCGTTATCTCATTACTATGTAAAGATAAGTGTATAAGCGAAACCATTTCGCTCTGAATAAAGGACAGTTCTTGGCAGCACCCAGTTTTGACAGTTCTGATATCTCTCAACTTTCGACTCAGTTAGCGTTCGACACTGCATAGTGTTGTCCCAAATAGTTACCTGCACCAAATTTTTTAAAAACTTTGAGCGAAGATATCTCGACAACCATTGAGTCAATTTTAATGAACTTTTTTTTATTTAATTCTATAAATCTATAGATTTTAAATAAAAAAAGTTATCAAAATTCACTTGAGGGTTGTTGAGATATCTTCACTCAAAGTTTTATTTTGATAGACATTTTAGATTTTTCTCAAATTTTAAATAAAGATATCTTGATAACCACAAGTCAATTTTGATGATTTTTTTTATTTAAATTTTACAAATTTATAGAATTTAAATAAAAAGGTTTATCAAAATTGACTTTTTGGTGTCAAAATATCTTCAAAGTTTAAGAAAAACTTAGTACAACTTTTATTTGAATAGACATTTTGAATTTTTAAAACTTGGAGCAAAGATATCTCAAAAATCACAAAGTTAATTTGATAAATTTTTTTATTTAAATTCTATAAATTCATAGAATTCAAATAAAAAAAATTTATTAAAATTTACTTGGTGTTATCAAGATATTTTCACTCAAAGCTTTAAAAATTTCACAAATTTTAATTTACAGGAGTAGAGAGTATAAACAGTAAAATTGGAGGTATATATAGTAGCTGCCTAATTGAAATAGTAAAAAAAAATTGCTAAATTTTGTGAAGTAAATAATACAATGTACTTTTTATCTCTTACTATATGGTAAAAAGTATATTAATTCTTAAGGGTAGAGTGTATATAGATTATTATTATATAATCTACATGGTATTTTTCAATTTTATCAAAAAATTGAGAATGCTACTAATAAAACTTTTTATGATTATGTTTAATTTTTATTAAAATTTTATAAAATATAGATTAAAATATATTTTTTACAATAATATAAATTTTAAAAGATATAATGTTTAAAAAAACATACTTGTTTATATCTTATATTTGCTGGAGATTTGTCAAATTTTTTGGGTTATACAAAAATTATTAATTTTGATTAGTTTATATCATATATTAAAAATTGTTAAATATGTACTTCTCATTAAATATTTAATTAATTTGAATAATTTTACTATTGTTAGAATCAGAAAAATCTATTCTACAATATTTATTTATAAATTAAAAGCAGTTAACTTAATAAATATTTTTAAAATATTAAAAATAAGAAAAATATACTATCAAGATCATAAAAAAAATAATCTATATATACTCTACCCTTAATAAATCTACTTTTTATTATATAATACAAACTTGATATAACTCAATACTTTAACAAAATACTTGTTACAAAGATATTTTATTAGTAAAGTATAATATGTTTAGTTTTTAAATTTTTTTATATTTAAAAATTTTAATTTTTATACTACTATCTTATATTAATACTTATATAATATCAATCTCAAAAATTATTAAATTTTTTTTTGATGTTAAGATGACCTCTTAGTTATGTTTCTTTTATTCGATTATAGTTATAATTTTTACAGTATGATTTTTATACTATATACATATTTGAAGAGTACAACTAGCTACTAGAGCCTTTCGTATCTACAATCTGGTTAACCTAGTCTTCAGTTGATATGTTCAGACCAAATCCCACTACTTGTATCTAGTTTTCATAGTAGAAGTATTCTCTGGCTATTTTGTTTTTATCAGTTTTTTTGTATTATTTTTTTTAACTATCTATAGTTTGATCACTGCTATACAACCTACTTCTGCTCTTATAGAGTTCACCCAAACTCTGGTACTCCTCTTCAAGTCTACCTGATACTTTTCCTTTTTAGTACTGCCCTAGTTAATCTTCTCAAACTACCAAATCAGATGTCCTGAAAGAGACACCAGTCTCTTGATATCTGCATACAGATCTTTTTTCTTTGATTGATGCTCTGGCAGCCTAGTTAGTAGGGTACTTTTGCCTA